TTTCTTATTGTCTCTTTCTATTTATATCTTCTTTTGATTTAATTTCTCTTTTATTACTTTTTTTATTTATTTCTCTATCATTATACTAAAGAGGAAATAGATTAGAGAACACAGAACGACTAAGAGAAACATGTTTAGCTAAAGACTAGTATTAATCTCAAAAGGTCTTGAAATAAATTCACCGTAAGGAAATTTAGTTCCTTGTTGGAGTGAATTTATTGGTAGATAAAATTAATCACATGTTTCAATGTAACAGGCTTTTCTCTAATTTAGCATGTGTAATTAACATTTAAGAAATCAATATTGTTTTGTAATAGTACGAATATTGTCAACCTGTAATTATTTTTCCTTACATTTGTAATTATCAGACTGTTCTTGTTATCGACCCGAAGTTAAAATTGCAGAATAGAAGCACGAGGGTTGCTTTATTTATTTTCAAAGAAAGATACACACATTGTTGAGACCAACACTAGGAGAACATTTTCATTGTTACAAACTATTAGATACAAAAATTTGCACTAACAATTATTAAGTATGTTTACAAAATATTTCAATATTCATTTAATCGTTTATAATTAACTGTAAATATAATTTATTACCTAATAAAAAACGGTTTAAACATGAAATAAAAAATATTTTAATTTAAGGTATTAGTCGCGCCGCTGGCTCTGGCCAAAAGTTTACCGCTTACTAGAGTGGGGGAGTGAGAGTGAGAGACATGTTAACTCCCCACTCTATTCGTTCGTATGAAAGTTCATATAATTTAATTTTTTTTATCTTTCTGTCAATTATATGTGGAAATGGTAAATGTGGGAAAACTATGGATTAAAAATTTTCAAGATTTCATCCATAGTTACGCCACTGTGGATTAAGTATGGGTTTTGTCCAAATCCCATAGTTAAACTTTGCGGCTGTTTATGAGTCAAACGCTTGATAAAATTTCGCCGCAAGTTGTGCCATACTATGGGCCAAGTATGATGTATTATAAGTTCACTTTATTCAATTGCAGTCTATCAATTCAATACTGGATCAAATTTCACCGCCAGTTGTGCCATATTATTGGCCAAGTATGGGGTTTCTGAGAATCACGTGCTTCAGTTGTGATCTCTAAATTTAAGCCAGTTAAAAATCATAGTTTTAACTAATTATCAGTGACTGACAAATTAATAAAAAAATAACTGATTGACAGTAGAAAAATCACTGATTTTCAGTAAAATTAACTTAAAAATTAATTAAATTTGACTAATTGAATCACTTGAAAATCTTTTAAAATAACAGTCATTTTTAACTGGCACTCATAGTTACTTTTAACTAAATAACTAATAGAAATATTACGATTTTAATTAGTGAATTAGTTTTTGTTTATAAATCAGTTATTTCTAACTAATTCAAATTTATAGAGTGTAGTTTTTTAATTTTAACAATTTTTTAAAATTGTTCATTTAAAAGCACTCAGAAAAGTGCCTCTAAAAAGTGTTTTCTCGGTTATTATTTCATTTCTATACCATCTAAACCTGAATAAGAAGGAGTTTACACCGTAAGCCTTAAATATAAGCCTCCGCGAGCATAAACGGATATGCCTCCATGAGCATATACTTGCGTCTGCGCAAAGTGTTTGCCTGCAGCTGTGTTGTGAAAGAGTTTGCCTTGACCACGTGTTCGCGCAGGGGCAAATATATGCTCCTGGAGGTATATCCGTTTATGCGCGCGGAGGCTTATATTTAAGGCTTACGGTGTAAACTCCTTCTTAGTAAAAAACTACTAATTAAAGAGTAAAACTATGAAAAAATTAACGTAAGAAATTAATTAGTCATTGTTGTGTAAAAATTAATTAATGCTGTTATTAATTGATTTAATAAACCAATCGGTGATGTTGAAATAGTCAAAAGTGACTTTTCGGAGATAATTAGAGGAAAGCAAACAGATTTACCACAAACGATGCAAAATATTTTTTTTTAATTTGTTGTATTAGAATATAAATATTAAAACATACTTTTACCGGATACCTTTAAAAAAGATGAATTATTTGTTATTTTTTTTAATTATTAAATATTGTATTTTTTATCAAATCTTTAAATTATGAGTTTAAGACTTCAGAAATTTTAATTTTTAGCATTGAAAAAATATATGTCGATAAGTCAATAATAAATGAGAATTTCTTTATTTCAAATAGCTTTCTTGTGAAATAAATTTTTATTTTGTTAAATTTCTTTCTTAAAAAATAAACAATTTATTTAAATTAAGGATTTGTATATACTTTAAAATAATAAATTTTAAAATATTTTAATTTATAGAAATATTTAAAGTAATTTTTCCATTTTAATAGTCAGAATATTAAATAATTTTTTTGGAATTTTTTGGTTGAAATTCAACAAATGAGTAGTTAGCTAAAGCTGAAATAAAACAAAACTGAATTAAAGTTGTAATATAAAGTTGTGAAACAACTTTATAACTAGAAGCATTGTCACAAAAAAAATTTAAAACACTCTTTTTCTTTTTGGTAGTGGCTTTTTATTGTCACTATCTTCTTCCTCCTCACTATCCCGTAGAAGTTCATCATTTTCTTCGTTGTTAGTATCCTCTTCCTGCTCATTATCTTTTGCCTGTTCACTATCCTCGCCATCACTATTCTCGCCATCACTATCCTCGGCATCACTATCTTTGGCATCAGTATCCTTGGCATCAGTATCCTCGATATCACTAATCTTGACACCACTATCATCGACATCATCGTCCTTGTCATCATCGTGCTTATCATCATCGCGCTTGTCCTCATCATCCTCTGTTAATGGATTAACTTTCTTTTTCTTTGTAGTTCTTGGATTTCTTAAAGTACCGCATTGGTAATTTAAAACTTATGTGTATTCCACTACATAGTAAAATTTTTGTTTCTAGCATGTACGTATTCTAAAAATGTTATCCATTTTTAATCAAAAGAATTGGTTTTAATTGAATTTTTAAGTTAATTAGCTGACGTGTCAATTCTCTAGGCTTCTTTCTATAACACTTTAATAAAAATAATTTATTTTGATTTATGAGAACACTTGATCCTTCAAACAACTCCACCATTTTAGATTTTTTTATGCCATTCTCCATTATCTGTTGTAAAGAAGAACTTTAATTATTAAAAAAAAATAATTTCCTTTAATTCAATTAATAAAGTTGTATTTAGAATTTAATATTAAAGATTAAAATAGTAGACTTTCAGGAGACTTTATTTCGCCATTTTGGTTTAAAATGTATTTAGCAAGCTTTAAGCAGTTATCCAAAAAATCAACAACTTCTGGTGAAACTAAAAGGGTTCAGAAAAATTACAATTAATAAACTTTAAATTAAATTTTATCAAAATATAATAAATAAATTTGTGTTTAATAAATATATATTTTTTATGAATTATTACCTTTTGCAAATAGGGAATCCACAATCAATTGAACAGATTCCTTATTTTCGTTGGTGTCATCGAATTGATCTTCACTTTTCTTACCTTAATATATATATTATATATAATTTTGTTTATATCCGTTGTTAATTATAATATATTTAATTATTTTAAATTTATAATGATTTATAGTTTATAATTTTAGTATAATTTCAAATAAAATAAGAACATATTTTAATAATTAATACTTTAATTTAAAAATAAAATAAATAACGTAAATTTGTTCATACTTAAAAAAAATTATTACTACCTATAACAAATTTGAACTTGTGCAGTTACAAAAACAAAATAATTTAGTTGATTTATCAATTATATATAGGTATACGATTATTTAATATAAAAAAAATTTTTAATTTAAATTACTCGAAGTTTAAAGCAATTTGGAAATTTGTCAATAATAAATAAGAATAATTAATAAATATGTTATTATAATCTTAAACTGTTACTTTTGTAAGCTTGTATATATATGTATAAATTAATAAATAATAGTAAACAATAAATAATAAATTTTTCAATTCTGAGCAATTCGGAAGGCCGTTCAGAACTGGAAGGCATATTGTCAATTGAAGGCGACTCAGAAGTTATAAAGGTAATTGTGGTGGTAATGGCAATTTTAATATTGAAAACACTTTGGAGGTTGAACACTTTTTTGGTGTTAAATGTAGTTTTGATTTTGAAGATGTTTTTGATGTTGTAGGCATTTTTAATGTTGAAGACATTTTTGGTTTCGAAGAAGATTTGGAGGTGGATATTGAAGGCAATTTAGATACTTGTTTTTGTGTAGTTTCAATCGTTCCTCCCCCCTTTTTTAAAAAAACTGAATTAGCATTATCACATTTTGATTGATTTCCTAACATTTTTTCATTGTTAGAGGTTTTTATTGATCCAGTCCTAGTACCAATTTGACTATCATCTACCTCCGATTCATGATCACTTTGAATTTCGGACAAGAGATCAACAGCTTCATCTTTTTTTTTCTCTATATAGTCCCGTGCAGAAATTTTGACCTGGCCCTGGCCAGGGCCAGACCGGGCAAGTCCGGGGCCACTTCGGGAAATCTGATCTGCCCCCGGCCTGGATGAAACAATAAAACCGACCGGGGCCATGTCTCGGGCCAGATCTGGTTCCCTTCTGGGGACCCGACCGGGGCCATGGAATTTTTCCCGACTTGATCGCTATTAAAATTTTTGTGGTATAGGGTAAACCATTAGTAGTCAGCCACCAAACAGTAGTCATCCGCTTAATAATTTAGAGTGGATATTGTGGTAAAATTTTTGAACAATATACAGATTTTGTTTGTAAATGTAGTAAGCTAAAAATCTACCATTTTCTCAAAACTTTTAGCAGTAACCACTCCGAATTTATTAATTTGGATTAATTAATTATTTATTTATTATAATTATTACTTATTTTATTTGAATTTATTAATTCATAAAATAAAAACAATAATATTAAGTTTATTTCATTTTTATTTAAAGACTTTTATAAAATATGAACGACTTATATATTTATAAGTTAATCGATAAAACAAAACATAAATTATGATAATATAAACCGCATATTTAAAATTTTAAAACGATCAACATTTGAAAATTATTAACTTATCTATGGTAATGATCAATTTCTTTGTTCTTTCTTTTATCGCAATGTCTATCCGAATCCTTGGATGACTTTTCAAGAAGTATCAACGATTTTATATATTTGTAAGTTAATTAATAAAACGAAAAATTAAATTACAGTGGCACTTGTCGAAATGCAACTCAATTTATAAAATTTTATTACAGTAAACAATACTTAAAAATTGTTTTATAATTTAATTTTATAATATTTTTATATTATTCGTAAACTAAGTGAAAATAATTCATGTTAGACTTTTCTAAATAAAAAGCTTAAAAATTAGAGTTGCATTCCGACAGGTTTGACTGTAGGAGAATTAAATAGTTAATAAATTTTGAAAATTATTAACTAGTTATCATTTTTTCTTCGATTTCGATGGCCATCCCAATCCTTTGAATTTCTAAAAATAACGCCAAGGTGAGAGAGTACTTCATCATCATCAATTTGAAATTTTGCAATGGCAACCTCTGAAAATGAATTTGTTAAAAATTAGTTAAATAATCTTTAAATATCTTTGTTTATACGATTTATTTTTTTAATTTAATATTTTTACCCAATAAGCTCGAACACATTTTCATGTTTTTAAAAATCGTTTTGCCAGGACTTGGCTTTATTGCAGTTAATTTGATTGCAATATCTCTGGATAGATATTTCTTGATTATTGCATTTAGAACTTTTCTAATCCCAACATCTTTATTTAACGATAATTTTAAAGACGCCTTCTGTAATAAGAATATATAATAAATAACAGGGTTGTCACGATTTTGCTCTTTTCAAATTCCCTGACTTTTCCAGGTTTTTCAGGTTAAAAAACGGAATTTTTCCAGATTTTTAAAACGAAAATTATTTTAAGACATCAATAACTTCATTTTCAAATAAATATTTAATCATTTTTTATTTTATATAGACATTAAAATATTCAAAAATGTAAAATTCAATAACATATAAGAATATTATTATAAAACTTGCTACTTTGTTACTGTAACTTCTTCAAAAATTATTTTCATCATTACAATTACTCATTCTAGAATTTTCAACTAAAATTCTTCTTATAGTTAATTTTTTAAATTAATTTTTGAAAAAGTTCTTTGTGAATTTTCAAACTTTTTTGTTTACAATTTAATTTTACGAAATTTTAATTATTCTGGCATTTTTCGATTAAATATATTAGGAATTAAAAACTTTAAATAATTAAAAAAATGCCATTAAACTTATTGCGAAAAATTAATTCTATAGAATTCTTAAATAAAAGTATGAAAAGTTCCAATTTTCAGAGATTTTAATTTGAAATTCATTTTTAACTCTATATTTTTTAAAAAATTTTACAACAATTCAATTATTAAACTATAAAAATAAATATTTTATTTAACAATTAATGTTTCTTAAAATTGAATTTTCGTAAAGAATTTTATCAACAAATTTTTAAATAATTAAATTCTATTTGACAAACTTTAATACAATTTTTAAGAATAATTGCATTTTTCGAGAAATTTGATGAAAATTGTATTAGAATAATTTAAATCCAGCCAAGAATTTTATTAAAAGTTTTGAAAATAATTAAATTTCGGACAAAAATTTTATTATTTATGCAGATAATTGAAATTTTGACAAGAATTTTTGTAAATTTATAAACATAATTGGATTTTTGCAAAGAATTTTATTAAAATTATTTTTAAAAAAATTAAATTGTTACGCAAAGAATTTCTTTAAAATTTTTGAAAATAATTTAATTCTTTAAATAAATTTAATTAAAAATGTATTAAGAATAATACTTAAATTCTAATAAATAAATTATAGCAAAGGTTATTTAAATAATTAAATTTCTTTGATAAATTTTAATAACATTTTTAAGAATAATTACTTTTTTGAGAAATTCCAATAAAATTGTATTAAAAATAATTGAAATTCAGCATTGAGTTTTATTATTTATGAAAATAATTGAATCCCTGTAAAAAGTTTTATTATTCATGAAAATAATTGAATTTCTAAAAAGAATTTTACTACTTTTGAAAATAATTGAATTTCTACAATCATTTGTAATTTAGCTAATTTCAGAAGAATTTTAGTTGAAAATTTTTCTTTAAATTAAAATTTTTTATATTTCTAATTACATTCGTTTAAAATTTAAATTTTACAAAATTGTAAATCAAAATCTTTTGAAGTTTATCTACTTATGAAAATCTTAACGCAATTCTTTTAAACTTGAATTAATTTTGAAATTAGATTTTAAGAATAAACACAATAATTTTAGAAAACAATAATATTCTAGGGGGCCGTCCATAAACCACGTGGACAATTTTTCACCAATTTTTGACCCCCCCGCCCCCCGTTGTGGACAGTCGTGGACATTTGTCAAACCCCCTCCCCCCTATACAATTGTCCACGTGGATATTGCAAATTAAAAAAATAAGTTTTTTTTACTCCTGTATGTTAAAAAATAAAAAAGATTATTTTTGAACATATTTCAAAGCAAGAATGTCAGTAAAGTAAGGGAAATGTCAGGAAAAAATTTTGTCGGGGAAATTAAGAAAATTGTGACTTTTTTCGACTCATTTAAAATAATTGCGACAAAATACCACAATTTTTAAATTATTCAAAATTTCATGAAATTGTCTTGTAAACAAGTGGATTTTAGAAATATTTTAGTTATTTCTAGAATATAATTGAATTGAAATTTTGAAAATAATTGTTAATAAGTTACAGTAGCAATTCTTAAAAATTATTCAAATTTAAAGGATTTAAAATTTGAATTTTTTTCAAATTTCAATACCTACTATATGGAAAAATAATGGATAATAATTAAATATTTATTTCAAAAAATCTATTTAAGTTCAAAATTATTTTTAGAGTAAACTAAAATATTTTTAGGTTTTAGGAAAAAGTCAAAGTTTTGTCTAAAAATCAGGAAATTCTTTCAATCTTTCATGGAATAATTTATTTTCAGAGTTATTATTTATGACCGGGAAAAATAATTTATGACCGGGAAATGACCGTGAATTTTTTTTACAAAAAAATGGCCACCCTGTATAAACAAATCTTTTTGAATAGTTGAAATTTTGTAAAATTTAATTGAAAATAATTAATTTATTTTAAGTCTTTCGTTACAATTTTTGTAGAATAAAAAATCTTTAAAGGTAAATTTAAAAATGAAAATGAATGAAAATTAGCTTCTAATTTTTTAAAATTCAATATTTTTTTTTTTTTTTTTATTGTTTATACTCTAGCCCTATTGGCCTTACGCACTTCGACAAGAGTCCCCGAGAAATACTTTTTTTGGATTAAGCATAACCATTCTACTTTTAGAAATTTTCTATATATATTAACCTAATTTTGCGTCTACAGCCGACTTTATTAGGAGTACTCGCATTACGCCTGGACCACCCGTCAATGGGTTTTCTCGCCAGAGAAGAGGGAAACTGTAGAAAACCTCTCTGAGTACAACCGGTTTATCGACAGTCGAGTTCTAATGGTGTGTACCGGACAATAATCGACGGTGCACATCATTATACCTCGACGTCAAACCTCCCGCTCAGATTGTCTCACGTGCCGGAAAAATACCAAGCCAAGTGGGCGCGAACCAAGGGTACTTATACCCTTGGTCCTTGAACGACCACCAACGCCAGGCATCTATCCGACTGAGCCAATCTGTCGGTTAAAATTCAATATTCTCAATTACATATTTTCAAAAATTCAAATATATACAAAAAAAATAACATTTTAAAATTATTTTTAACATTTTAGAGGAAACAATCATGTTAAAAATTTTTAATTAAAATTTATCAATCAAATTCAAAAATAATTTAAAATATAACAGAATTTTAGAAGAACTTTCGGAAAATTATTTAAATTAATTGATTCAAAGACGAAGGTTTAGTTGCCCAGTAAAAAAAAGTATTCTAAAAAAAAAAAATTCTATTTCTATTCTATTCGCTCTCTTCCAATACTTTTTTTTACTGGGTGGAAATTGTAGAAAATAATTGAATTCAGGAAGGGTTATAATTGTCATTTTAAAAAATAATTAAAATCATAAATTTTACTCATTTTCCGTAAACATTCATATTTTCCTGTAAAAAGAATTTTGTCAGGGAAATTAATTTTAATATCAGTAAATTGTCAGGGAAATTGATTAACTAAAACTTATGATCATTCTGATTAAGCTTAAGATATCTTTTTTGGAAATATCTTTGATTATATGTCCACGTTGACATTTGCTTTAACACCCCCCCTCCCCTTCGTGGACAAACGTGGACTTTTGATTCACCCCCCCCCCGCCCCCCCAAATGTGTCCACGTGGTTTATGGACGGCCCCTAGGATTTCGATCAAAAGTCCCTGACTTTTCCAAAGTTTATAAAATTCAATGACATTTCCAGGCTTTCCAGGTTGCGTAGCAACCCTGAATAAACATTTCGATTTATAAAAAATGTCTTGAAAAGAACACAAGGAATTTCAAATAATTCATAGTTAAAATATATAACAATATTATAGAACTAAAACGTAAGGAATACCATAATAAATTTTTTACTTACAAAATGGTTATTGCACTCCTCATTTACAAGTTTCTCATTAAGATTTGCAAGGTCGTCAAAAGTTTGCAGAGGCAGATTTAATTTATATTCTTCCTCGAAACTTTTTTTGTTGGCCATGTTCAGAATCTCAAGATTTTCAATCATTCCAATTAATAATTTTGTATTATCCATTACGTCCTTAACTTCAATTCGTAATGATTTTATTTCTCGCATTACAACAGAAAAATCTAAGAAAATTGAGAAAAATTTATTTGATCAAAATTGTAATATATGTAAGAAAATAGTATTTTCAAAATTTATGAATAAAGTTTTTTTATTCTTACTTTTTTCACATTTACGACTTTCATTATGTGAATATGTGTTTTTATCACGTGTTTCTTCAATTAGGCTGTGAGTCTGAGTTCGGGGATTCCCTAAGACGTTCTTTTTTACATCTGTAACCTCAAAGTCTACACGGAAAAACCTTTAAGCAGTCTGCTCACCCGAAACTTATGCGTCAGCGCCACCACTAAACTTGTTCATCTGCACTCCCAAACTGGGTGACCATGGTCACCCAGTGTCAAGTCAGTCAAAATTACAACTGGGTACGTTGCAACGTACCCAGTTGTAATTTTCTAAACTTTTTGGGAAGTTTGTCTATCGAAAACGGTAATGCTACGCACCCAGTGGCGGGCGATCAGACTTTCCATGCAGTGAGAAGCGAAATTTTGTGACAGTGGGAAGGCAGACTTCTCAAAGGTTTTTCCGTGTAGATCTTCTGTCGAGACATCCTCGTCAGAATATTCACGTGTTGGATTTCCTATAACAAAAGTAAGATTCGTTTATTAAAAAAGAAAAAATATTTTTATAAATAATAAATAATTGTTAAATAATTGTTTACATATTTTTCAGTTTTTACCATCAAGAAAATAAATTATTGCCAATATGATTGAAAAATTGTTGACAATATTAATTTTTAATTTCACTGTAAAAATAAGGCATTTTATTTTAAGATATTTTGGTAGTCACTTTTAAGTTGTTTTGAAAAAGTTATTAATAGCATTTTAAAATGCATTAGTTTCTAAAATTGAATTGTTCTAAATTAAAGGAAATTGTAAAATAAAGCGATTTTTAGATTCTCGAAAACTAGAAATTAAGAAGAAAATTTTACTTACTTTGAGTTTTAGAATTATTTTTTAGCATCTTCCTTCTTCTTTTTTTGGGAACAGGATCATGATTTTCTGACGAATCAGAATCTACTATATTATTTTTCAGACGATTGACGTCTGACGTCTGACTGACTATATTATTGCCTAAAAAAATATTAGAACTTTAAATCAAGAAAAGAAAATAAATTATTGTCATTATGATTGAAAAATTGTTAATATTAATTTTTAATCTATCCCAAGTTAAAAAAAATTATAAAATAAAATGATTTTACATTTTTCAGATTCTCGAAAAATAGAAATTAATAAGAAAAATATACTTACGCTGAGCATTAGAATTTTTTTTTGCCTTATTCCTTTTGCTGCTAACTTTGGAAAGAGAATTGTCACTATTTTGAGAATCGTAGTATACTGCTGTTTTGTCTATAAAAATAAAAAAATTTTAAATTACACATATAATTTAAATTTGAAATTTTATAAAAAGTTGTTAATTATAATTGTTAATTAAAAATAAATATAATGTTAATTATAAAGAAATTAATTTCTCAAACGACGAATTGAACGAGATTAGCAATGAAACAGATAAATTTGAATTTTCTCAATTGAGTTCCAAAAGTAATATACTAACCTGAAAAAGTCGTAGAGTTTCTGTATTGTTTAGAATTCGATACATTTTTTGATTTAACTCCTGAAATACCAGGCTGGGGTTCTCCAATTGTGGAAACATTCATAATACTGTTTAAATCTGGCAAAGACATCAACTGTTGTTTAATTTTACTTGCTGCTAATTTTGCCCTTTTCTCGGGGTTTACTTCCGTTTCTGTATATGCGAATTCCTTAATCTTGAGTTCGTTTAATCCCATGACAGCTTGTTCATATGTATCTGTTAAATAATATTTCATAAATCATAAAATGTATTCGCAATATATTTAAACAAATTAAACTTAAAAAGAAACAATTTTACGCATTTTGTTTTAAAAAATATAATATAATCCTTCCATTCTTATTTTAGATTTTTATCAACAACACAACAAAATTTTAGTAGGTATATTTTTGACTCACCTGCATGACCAACAATTTTAACAACATACTCTGGCCAATTTCTGTCAAGTGCATCTTCATTATTTTGTATTAAATCGTACAACAATTTATTAGTTTCCTCATTGTACGGAGGGGGCATATACTTTGTTAAAAACTGCTTTTTTTTGTTATCAAAATTAATCCATTTCAGTAATGTTATATCTACTGTTCGAGTTATCCGACTTTTACCGGACGAAGTAAAGTGGACTAATTGAAAAGGCTTACACGTTAATATTAAATCCGACATTGCTCTGTAAAAAATTTTGATTAGTTAATTTTAATGTTTAATAACTTTTAGATCATTTTTTTACACAATGATAAGACGTAAAAAAATAATTGCTTGGAAAGTAAATTAAAAAATTTACTTTCCAAGCAATTATTTTGCTTTACGGGTTGAGTTCAAAACAAAAGTCAATTTTTGTTCTTCTCGAATGTTATCGAACTCATGGATAACAACATTGAAAACTACAACGAAATAACCTCACTTTTCAATAATTATAAAGAAGTTAAATGGCACGTATAATAGCGATGTCGGTTTCTGTTTTAATATGATATATCTTTTTTAACTTTTTAATCACAACCCTGCATCGATTAATATTCTAAATTAAAGAAAACACTACAACTTTTCTCAACTACGAGAAACACATAACCTATAAGTTGGCACTTTTCGACTTCTTACTTACAGATTTTATTTTTGATTTTGTTGACACTTTTTTTAAATAACATTATTTAATTAATAATTACATTATATACTTACATATAACTATATTGAATTCTTTAATAACACAACAATTATTCAATACTATAAACTTCCTGTTTGTGTGTATTTAAAAATGTATTTTTGAGATGCCAATTTAAAACGTTTTATATATAAAGCATTTTAAATGGACAAGTTTTATTCTACCAATAAGAAGCATTTTTTGTAGTGTAAGCGCAGTTGCGTTTGGGGACGATCGTTGGCATCTTTAGCACTATCGAATCGAATAACAGTGTTGCCAGTTTTAAACACGAAGCGACAACATAAAGCAGGAAATTCAAAAACATCTTTCTTTATTTTTATATATTTTATTAGAAAAAAGCAATTATAAAGCAGTGAAAAATTATTTTATAAATGTAAAACTTATTAAAATTTTACTTTTTATATAGTTACTTATTATGTTTTTTAATTTCGTAGATTAAAATTAATTATTATTAATTTGGCAATACAAATTATATAATTATTGATAAATTAAATGTAATAATTATTTTTAAATGTTATAAAGCAATAATTTAAATCTCTAATTAAAATAATTCAGTAATTTTTTTTGTTACTTATTTTATTGATTTATTATTTTATTGTTGAGAATGTTGTAAGTACTTTGTCAAATATTAAATTAATAGCATATATTTTAAAAAAAATTGCAATACATCGGATTTTTAAAGCAATTTTGTATCATAAGCGTAAAACACATTATTACTGGTGTAAAAGAGGCATGCAGTAATGCTTTTTTGGCCCTTTGTCACTAAAATTTAATGATAATTTCACCATTTTCCCTTTGATATCGTTTACACTAAATGTGGTTAAACGATTAGAAGGCTTTCTACGCAGTTCCCACATGTTTAACAATTTTGAATTGAGGGGATATGTAAATAATGGTTCTTTAGTATCCCATATGTTACCTTCTACTCTTATTTCTCCTTCTGTTTTATGTATTCTTCTGATACGAAAGAGATTATTATTTTTTAAAACTACAAAATTGTCTGGCATCTTTGGTGTTAGGGTACACTCTTTGTACTTTAATTTTAAAATTTCCGAATTATTAGATTTTAAAATTTTTATTTTGACTGGTAACTGTGGTTTTGGCGGATTTATTGTTTTGATTTCATGCAATCTTCGACAAACCTGTGCTAAGGGGCGATTAGGTGTGCGAATTAGTTTCGTCAATTTGCCGAGATAATTTTCAAATGGAAAGGCACTAATTTCACTGAAGCTACAACCCATCTTAACTACATCATCTGCAGCATGAATTGCATGATGCATATTTAGAACCTGAATTCGAAAATATAAATATCGTAGACCCAAAAAAAATTTTTCCAAATAAGATTTCGCATAATTTTGGTACATTTTACTTGCACTATCGCTGCACAAAATTCTTGTTGCAGCGTGTAAAAGTAAAAAGTTGTTATATCGATCATTAGTTAACGCACCCATCATCACAATAGGACCGCAGTACAACAAAAAAAATCTAAATTCTGTTGCCTTCCATTTACACAAAGATTTTAAGGATCTAGATTTTCTTTGGAATTCGCAAGGTATACACTTGCGAATTAGAAGCAGTCTACGCGATACTTCTGTTTTCCAATTTTGCCCGAGTTTTGCAACGCTAGTTATTACAAACCAATTTTGCAGAAGACGTTTCATGATTCCTTCGCAAAAAAGGTGCATAAAATCCAAGACAAATATGGAGATCATATTTAAAAGTGGTCTTACATTTAAAAGAGGAGATCTTCTTTTATGATGACCAGGCTGCTCTTGATTTCTGAAAGATTCGTCCGTCCTTTGCTTTGAGTCTATAATGGGAAACTGAGTTACGCCATTTTCTTTCATTCCCTGAGTTTCACATCTTTCGCAAGCGAATATTCCTACGTGGCCAATTGTTCCTTTTAAAAATGCTCGAGATGGCGTGTCGCAAATAAAACTGTGAATGCGAATATTAAATGATTTATTTGCAATCACTATTATTCTTGACTGTAAACTATTCACTTCTTCAATGAAGTCTCGTAAAAAGTCGTCGACATTTGCTGGTTTCGAATTTCCAGCATAAATTAAAATTGGAAAAGGTTTATAAACATCAGGTTTATAGTAAACCTTTGCAGATAAAACCCAAAACCCTTTTACGCCTGATTTTGTTAAGGCGATACCATCAGCATTAATTTGTAAAAAAATTGTAGACTTTAAATGTATAAACATTTAATCTATGCATTCCTCAAGTCCATTTTTAATGCCGAAGTAAGCATATTCACCCATACTTCCGTCTAAATCTGCCATTTCTTTTATTTCATACTCTGCTGTTGAAGTACCTAAGAATGTTTTCGCTGTTTTAGGTAATTCGGGCAAGAGTCTACGACGCAAAATTTTTAACATTCCATCAATGCTGTTTTGTTCAATCCCATGTTCAACAGCCCATGATTGTAATTCCTTAATTTCGTCAGGTTCATTTTCTTCTAAATCTTCAATGGCGTCAATAAAATTTTCATCAGATTCTGAAGATCCGTTAAAATCATCGTCATCTACAATTATAATTGTTACATAATAGTTATTATGATTAAATTAACATATATTTTAGTTTTTTAAAATTTGTTAAATGCTTTTATATTATATTATCTTTTCACACTTTTTAAACATAGATATGTTATTGTAAGAAGTATAAAATAATTTACCACTTAAGAGTAAAATCCTACACTCTATATATCAGAATTAGTGAAAATGACACTAATTTCAATTAAATGGACGAATTTACTTTGATAAATCAGTGACATTTAATTGAAGACATTTTTTACTATTTTAAAAGGAAATTTTACTAAGTTCGAAGTAAATCCGAAGCAAATGGAATTTCAAATAAAAAATAAGGACCTAACAAAAATTTTGAATCAAAATTAAGAATTATAAACAATAAAGGAAGATAATAAAGTAATATTAATAATTAATAAAAAAAAATTTTAAAAACTGCAATTACAAGAGAAATTAAAAAATCATGAAAATAAACAGCATTTGTTATAATACAGGGCTCGAACCAGTGAAAGGATATATATTTTTAATAATTTAAGATGGGAAAATAAGAAATCACTATTTTATATTATAAGAATATAAAAATAATTATTATTTTCAATAATTTTTACCTAAAATTCTTCTTTAAATCAATTAACTTTCGAAAAAGTTATATTATGACAATTTTCAAATCCTAATTGTTTGCAATATTCAATTTCACGAATTTCAGTTACTCGAAATTCTTCAATTAAATATATATTAGAAAATAAAAACTTTAAATAATATAAAAAAATTAAATTCAACTTAAAAAAAATTAATTTCAAAATTCAATTATTTGAACTTTTTCAAAATTCAACTATTATTTAAAATTTTGACTGAAATTCATTTTTAAATCAATTTTTATTAGAAAATTCTACAAGAATTAAATTACTTAAATATACAAAATTAAATAATTTATTAAATAATTCAATGTTTCTTAAAATTCAATTCTCATAAATATTTTTATCAACAAATTATTAAATATTGAATTTTTTCCACGACTTTTAATAAAATTTATAAGACAAATTACATTTTCTGAGAAATTCCATTAAAACTGTTTGAAAAATAAATGCAATTCCGCGATGAGTTTTATAATTTATGAAAATAATTAAATTCTTAAGAAAAATTTTATTATTTTTGAACATAATTAAATTTATTGTAAGGATTTTATTATTCTTAAAGACAATTGAATTTTTGCAATAATTTGTAACTTCTCCAAAATTAAATTTTGTTTAAAGTTTTTAACTAAAATTTTTCTATGAATCCATTGTTTTTAATAATTTTTGAAAAAGCTTTTTTTAAGAACATATTGAATTTCACATTTGAATACATTTTTATTAGAAAATTCTACTATAATTTAATTATTTAAATACAAAAACAAATAATTTATTGAATATAATTCAATTCAATTGTTTATCAACAAATTTTTAAATAATTAAATCCTTTTACGAATTTAAATAAAATTTTTAGGGAGAATTACATTTTTCGAGAAATTAGATTAAAATTTTATTAAAAATAATTAAAATTTTGCAATGGGTTTTATTATTTATGAAAATAATTAAATTATTTGATTAAAATATTAGATATTGAAAATCATTAAATGAAGGACATTTTTTTTTAAGTTTTGAACATGATTAAATTTCTGATAAGAATTGTATTATACTTTTTAAAATAATTGAAATTCTGCAATTATTTGTAATTTTTCTAAAATTTTCCAAATTATACCTTACAATTTACGAACATTTCGTGCTTTTTCAATCAAATTACGGACTTTACGGACCTTTTTTCAAAAAAGTGACTTTTACGGACTTTAAACAAATTTACGTTCGAGCCCTGTATAATACAATTATTTTTTACTTAATTTGAAGAAATCCCTTTTTTAAAAATTAAAATCCGCTTTTTCATCTAATTTTACATTAGAAAATTACTGTGATCTTGCGTTCAGTATGTTGAAAATAATTTTTAAAGATATTTTAAGTTTACTTTAAGATTATTGATAATATTTACTTTGGTCTTCTGATTCATTAATTTCATAGTGTGAATCAATGTCGTTTGACGTGAGACGATCATCCATTTGGGAACTAAACGAAACATTTTGTTGTCCTAGCTGCGAGATGTTCTCATTTACATTTGCATCTTCATGATTTGAATCAAAGTCGCCTGATGTTACACAATCATCCATATGATCCATATGAGAACTAAACGAATCATTTTGTTGTCCTAGCTGTGAGACGTTCTGATTTACATTTGCATCTTCATGATTTGAATCACCTGAAGCTATAAGGCATAGAATTTTATTTAACGTAAATACATGAAGAAAGTTGTTATCATTATTATTAAAATTATAAGAAATAAGGTTATATTTTTCAAGACAAATAAAATAAATAAGAATTTTATTTTACTCGAAAGGAATGACCTTTTTTCTTATACAATAACTATTTTCTATCGAGTGATAAATTCATTCTTTATACTTAAATTTTACTGAAAGCGTGTGATAAGAAAAGTCAGATGTAATAAAAACAAATTTTAATTTAAATTCGTAATTTTTTCAAAAGAACCACAAAATACATACCTATGAATGAAAAAAAATCAATGACAATTATAAAAATAATTGCTAAGGAAAAAATCAAATTTTTAACACTTTTCTGTAAATCACACGAATTTAAATTTTGTAAATAAATGTATTTAAGAGTACTAAAACTTTTGTAAAACTATAAAATAATAAATAAAAATAAAATAAAACAATATTTATAAAGTTAGAATACAAATCTCTATTTTTAGGTTATATTTTATTTGTTAATGTAATATCAATGTATATAATAATTTACTTACAATTTGATGTATTCAATAGAGATGGGAATTGCGTTGATAATCGATGTTTCCGTACTCGTTTAGTACTTTTGTTTTTTGGCATATTATTAACGAAAATAAATACTGTTATTTATGCACACTACGAGTTGTTGGTAAATGTTAAAAACCGAAAATTAATCGATTCAGTGACAAAGCTCACGGCAGAAGGAAAAGCGGTCAATGGTAAAATATTTAGTGTTAAAAGTGTTTCTGGGTGTAGTGTGTACCATGAGCTTTTGGAAAAATTCCCGGAAATTACAAGACCTGACGGAAGGGTTACAGCAAAACACGGTACAGTTCATTACATAAAAACGCGAGATGGACCTCCGGTAGTGCAAAAACCGCGACGTTTAGCCCCGGATCGACAAAGAGCCGCGAAAAAGGAATTCGAAAATTATTTAAAGCTCGGTATTGCAAGACCATCGAAAGCTCGATGGGCATCACTACTACACATGGTTCCCAAGCCTGGTGAAGAGTGGAGACCGTGTGGCGATTATCGAGGTCTTAACGCGGTGACGGAACCTGATTGTTACCCTGTGCGTCATATACAAGATTTTACGCATAATCTTGCCGGAAAATCTATATTTTCAGTGATAGATCTTATGAAAGCGTTTCACCAAATTCCGGTTGCCGAGGAGGACATTTGTAAAACAGCCATTACAACTCCGTTCGGTTTATTTGAGTTTCCTTATATGACTTTCGGTTTGCGGAATGCGGCACAAACATTTCAGCGTTTTATCGACGAAGTGCTTCGTGGTTTAGAATTTTGTTTTGCCTACATTGATGACATCTTGATTGCATCATCATCGGAACAAGAGCATATAGAACATTTAAAAATTCTTTATACGCGTTTACGGAAATACGGAGTGGTTATTAATACGTCGAAATGTGTTTTCGGACAAAGTGCAGTGAAATTTTTGGGATATCTTGTCAGTGGCAGTGGTACTCAACCTTTACCTGATAAGGTAGAAGCAATTCAAACTTATCCAAAACCAGAAACAGTGAAACAACTTCGCAAATACTTAGGTATGTTGAATTTCTACAGGAGATTCATACCTGAGGCGGCGAAAATTCAAGCACCTTTAAACGAGTTGTTGCAAGGCAATGTTAAAGGAAAAGTGCCGGTAAAATGGACTCGAGACGCTGAAAATGCAATCATTAAAAGTAAATCTAGCCTCGCTTAAGCTGCACTTCTTGCTCATCCAAGAGATGACGTTCCTCTGGCAATATTTTGTGATGCTTCGGACTTTTCTATTGGTGCTGCACTACAACAAAGAGTTGATGACGAATGGTCTCCTCTTGCATTTTTTTCAAAAAAAAAAAAAAAAAGGCCTACAAAATAAATATGAATGGTAGAGAAGTTACAGTCTCTATTGATAGGCTTAAACCAGCCTATGTTATGGCAGACAACAACGACGACGACATCGAGGACGAAGATGAAGAAAGTGAAGAAGAGGAAAATTTCGAGATGGTTCTTAACCATAATTTTGTTCCTGTACCGAGAATCGAACACCAGCCTCCAGCACCAATCGAGAGAGTTCCTGATCAGGTACCAGCTGTACCAAATCCGGTTCCTGAGAACAACGTCCGTACTCGTCCACGTAGACAAGTACGTTTTACAGAACGGTATCAAGCTGGATTCTCGTGATTCAATCACTGGTAAGGGGGTACTGTGGCTACTGTTTTCACATACCCACACTTACACATACATAAAAATTAAAAACAATTTGTTTATTTATTTATGAAATTTAATATTTTTTGTTAAATTTAAATTGATTCTATAAATATATATATATGCATATACATATATAACATAGTTCACAAACAAATACACAACACACACACATACAAATTAATGTATACACATTAGGTTTTATGTTTGTTGTTTATAATAAATTAATCATTTTTGTGATTTTTGTATTCTGGACGGAATATTCTAAACTTTTCTAAATTTCTTTCTTTTAACAGTTTTGTACACTTTTTCGCTTTCAGGTAAATACCTGAGACCCTTTTTTTATTACCTTGTTGTTCAACTCGTTGCACGTTGAGACTTGCAAACTTTTGGGCTCTGTACGTAGGTAGTACAGGGTGAGTCACATTTTTACCTCTACAAGTCCCTTTTTTCAATTGCATAGATTAGTCAGTACCTTTTGCGCTTCCGTCCAGAGCACAAGCATAATTCTCGAAACAAATTCTCAAAATAAAAGCGATTTTTTAGTTTAATCCAGTTTCAGATATTTATTTATTTTTGCACCTTTAACCACCAAACTATGAACAATAGTCAACTTTGAAATATAACATGCTTAATGGAATAAAAATTTAAGTCTTATTCTCATGTGACATGTAATGTAAAAATTACATTATTGTTATATATGTTAAAAGTGAAATAAGAAAATTCACGCGCGCTTTAGCGCGCGTTATTTGTGCTAGTTAATAATAATTGTAATTCATTATTTCAATATTTACCACTTCTCTGAAGGAGTGTTGCTTTAAACACTTCTTTTTTGGATATTTAATTTCAATAATTTCTCCTTCGTTTGCTTTTTTCGCACTTTCACTTTCCTCCATAATTGTTACCTCATTTGGTTTATTCACCCATTGTATTAGCATGTAGATTTTTCCTGACATTTTAAATTGCTTCAGAAAAATTCTAAATCAATTTATTTTCTACTGTCAAACTTGTATTCAAAACACTGTTACTATGGTAACATGACAATAAACATTTTCCTGTCATTTTAAATTTTAAATCGATTTTGTTTTGTTGCTCATTTCATTAGTTTTATGACAAATCAAATCGAACGTTTCTGAAATATCTTAATTTAAATTGTTATTCACTGGATTAAACTTTAGAAATGCCACGAATTCAAGAATTCGAATTGTTTAGCAGAAAAACACAAATGCGAATTATCAAAGACTTGGCAGAAGATTCAGATTTTTCAGATATTTCTAATTTAGTAAGTGTGTAAAATTTTCAAGAAAATAAATCTACGTTTTTCCTATTTAAAAATATTTGAATTGTGAATTTTTATAATTAGACTGATGGTAATGAAGATAATGATGTCTCTAGCAGCGATGATTCTAATGTCGATATTTTTAGTGATGAAAGCGTGATAAATGACGAAGGTATAAAACGTAAAAAAATGTTTTTTGTTGAATTAATTATTTGTTACTATTTTTAATTCGTTATGAAAAATTAGATTTATAAAATATAAGTAATTCAAATTTGAAGAATTTTAAATATTATTCTTATGGTGCAATTATTATATGTCTATTTAGTAGATTAAAATTAAATTAAAAATTAATTAAATTAAAAATAAATTAATTAAAATTAATTAAAAAGTTGTTCATTTCATGATCATTAAGCTTCCTCAATATAATATATACCAATCGTTTAATTTTTTATTTCAGAATAATTATTTTAAAGTGTTAAGATAAAATTTCAAAAAATACAAAATTTCAATTTTTTGTGAAAAATTAAAATATTTATTAATTCTATAAATTTGAATAAAATATATACTTTATATACATAAATCAATTCGTTTTTATGTCAGGAATGCAATTCTGCCAAGAATTAATAAAAATTTTAATATAGAAAAAAGTTGTTTCAAAAAATCCAAAAATTAATATTTCCAAAAATTAAAAAATTGTTGAAAAAATTTTTTTTTTTTAGATATTTTCAAAAATCCTTCTGTTTGATTTTTGTTATTCGCGACCGTAATACACCTACAAAATTTTATCCAAATTCGTCAAGACGTATAAGAGAAAATTTGTCCACAAGAATCGGTGACACACACACACACACATACATCCGGACATTTGTTCCTCTCAAAGAATTATGTATACTACACTTGAAAATTTATAAAAATAATTGATTCTAAAGAATTCGGAAATCGACATTACTATAAGGCTTCCTTTATGAGGAAGCAATATGAGGAAGCAAAAATTAATTAATTGAATTAGAAATAGATCAATCAATGTAAATTTTCCACACTTATATTTTTACTGATTTCAAACCAAATATTTATGTCTTTTTTTTAATTTACTAAAAAATAAAAATTTCTAATGAATTTTAAAATAATGACAAATTTTAATTAATTTTATCTAATTTTCAATTACAATTTTTACAATTCTTTATTTAAAAGCAGAGATCAGTGACATTTCCAGATATTAAAATTTTCAATATTTAAAAATTAAATTTTAATTTCATAATAAACAGAATTTAGTATTTTTAATTATTATTAAGAACAGTGAAAAATATAAAAATAGGTTAAAATATTTGTTCAAATAGAACATGAAATTACTTCAAAAACTACATATTTGAAATTGTTTTTGGATTTTTTAATTGACAATTTAAGGTTCAATAGAATGGGAAAAATCAACAACCCTTAACAATGTAAAGTTTGATTTGTTCATATTTTACAAATGGCTTTAAAAAATTAAATTTCTTTATCAACAGTTATTAATATTTACCGACATTTTCTATTGATTTTTGTAATTCCAAACAATTTATGGTATAGGTTATTATAATGTTTGATTTTTTCCAAAAAAATACAAATTTTTTAAATCGTCAAAAACATATTTATTAATTTTAATAACAAACACTAATTTTATATCTATAATTAATATGTTTAAAAATTTCAGCGTGTCAATAATTCAAATTTCACCTGATCTTTTCCTTTAAATAAAATCAAATATTTTATTTGAAATCAGTAAAAATATAAGGGTAGAAAATGTACAATGAACTTTTTCTAATTTAATTTTAATTTACATTAAATTTGATATGCATGAAAATAATGATAAATTTTAGCTATTATTCCGTTAAAACAAATTGATTTAGTTCGAAAGAGAAACATATATTTTTATAAAATATATTTCTTAATAGGCAATAACAATGAAGAAGTGAACTCAGATAGTGAAATCAATTGTTCTTCTGCGAGCAGCACTGATTATGATTCAATTAGTGATCATGATGAAGTCGATACCGATTCTGATAGTATCTCTGAAGCTAGCACTGATGCTGAAAATCCAAATGATTTTGTAAACGCTAATGATATAGAACAAGACGATTCACCTTTATA